TATTATAGGGATGCCAAATATTGCTTCAGTACTTTATCAGATACACTTGACACAATATTACAAACAGAATATCTACAAAATTATTTTCAATTACTATTAAAGAAAAAAACCCAATAGTGATGGGAAATTGATTAAAATAAAATCATTGATTACCATCATATAGGTTTTGCGATGTAGTTATATAACTAGCTGTGTTCAATACTATAGAAAGTGAAAGCATTCTCCATTGGGAGTAATATTTTCTTTTTTGTAACTATACATAAATTGCCTCACTTACTTGGAATTAATTTAAAAAATCTTTATTATGCATATTAATTTTTACTAATTTTGAAAAATATAATTATTGCATCAGGTGAAATTAAACGATCAAATAATAAATTTTCAACATGACCTCTGTTGCATGAGCTAACACTTATGTTTAATGAGTCTAAATGTGGGTGGATGGATGATACAGAGGACACCTCGAACCTCCGGAGGCATCAGTATGCACCAGTTAATAGAGGGACCAGTTGTAACCCTACCTAGTACGGTCTCCCCGTGTAACTTCCTAATATAAGGAGCTTTGAGCAGGGTTTTGACTCAATATGTACCATCGCTGGTGCAGTAAAGTGTTTGCTGTCGCATGTTCCAACATAATATATTGACGTTCAGTTTTGTTTTACCTTATCTTAATCTTGTACTAACTGATACAAACCTTGTTCTAAGTGTATTGACAGATGAGGCTGGTACCTTCTAGACTTTCTATTAGACATTTTGAGGAAATTTCATTCCGAAAGTAAAATATGTGCGTGTTCCGAGTACATTTTTGCGCGCATTTTGCACTTGCTATGTGCCGCGTATATTGTCCGTGGATCCTAAGCGGAGACATTTAGGGATTAACAGTACAAAATAAGATCGGGCACAAGTTTTCAAATTAATATGAAGCTTTTTCCCATTAGAAATTTTACAATTTTATACAATCAAGATGAAATAATTGGATATTTTTTTTGAGAGAGAGGAGGAAATATTGTATCTATGTGAACATAAATAATCATAGATATTTATAGATTATCAATTGATTAAACAATCCCAATGCCGATAGTATTAGCTTACACTTTTCACTTTAGAAACCACTATTACTAATGTCCGTCGCATTCTGTGCATCGGTGCCTTCTGAATTCACAAGTATGAAAAATTAAAAAAAAAAAAAAAATCTATTTTTCAACTTTCTACTTACTCTTTTATGGAATTGAGTTATAATGGTTTGGATGGTGAATGCCAAAACCCTGGCTGAAATCCTCATAATTTGACCTAAAGGTTTGGTAGTGAATGCCAAAACCAGAGCTGAAATCCTCATAATTTGACCTAAAGGTTTGGTAGTGAATGCCAAAACCAGAGCTGAAACCCTCATAATTTGACCTAAAGGTTGGGTAGTGAATGCCAAAACCAGAGATGAAATCCTCATAATTTGACCTAAAGGTTGGGTAGTGAATGCCAAAACCAGAGCTGAAACCCTCATAATTTGACCTAAAGGTTGGGTAGTGAATGCCAAAACCAGAGCTGAAACCCTCATAATTTGACCTAAAGGTTGGGTAGTGAATGCCAAAACCAGAGCTGAAACCCTCATAATTTGACCTAAAGGTTGGGTAGTGAATGCCAAAACCAGAGCTGAAATCCTCATAATTTGACCTAAAGGTTGGGTAGTGAATGCCAAAACCAGAGCTGAAATCCTCATAATTTGACCTAAAGGTTGGGTAGTGAATGCCAAAACCAGAGCTGAAATCCTCATAATTTTTTCGCATTGATCCATTCATGATAACAGTCACAATGAATAATGACCTGAAATATAAAATACTACCTTGTTAAATAATACATTTGACCTTGACCCTTGATCGGTGCATGAAATACGAGGACTGATTGATAAGTTGGAAGTCTGTCTGCTAATTCCTTTCTTCATGCACATGTACATATTCATTCTACATTATGGCAAGTTCAATAATTCATCAGTGCTTTTCACAAATGTCTCCATAGTGAGTATTTATGGACGAATGGACAGACAACTTGACACGATGATTTCTATATACATAATTCCTCATGCTTGTTGGAGGTATACATGAAAAAAAAAGAAGACAGGTGACTTTTTTTTTTTTTAATTTCATTAATTTTAATATGAAATTTTCTCTCCCTCTTCTCTTCGATATTCATTTACACTTAACACAAGGCTACAAATCTAGCAAAACAAGTAATTCCCTAAAAAACCATGAGAACACTTTTTCTGAGATAAACAACTAAAAGAAAACCTTCCTTTTACAAAGAAGTCATATTTCATATGTGTTTTTATATCACATAAAAAACATCACAATTTATTTATTATTGAATAATTATTAAATAATCTATGATATTAAAATCTTAAAAAAAATTATTGAGAATTGATATTTATTCAACAAACTAAATCTGTTCTTTCAATTCACAACATCATCCATGTTTCGTCCTGTGATTCCAGTAGTATCCTTTATACAAAAAATAGGAAACCTTGAGATAAAATGCATCACATGTGTGATGGGCAAGTTTTCCTGACGGTTTGTACTTATTCTTTGAAGCAACACTAATTACGTGTAATAAAGAGAGATGAAAAAATCCCCAGAATTATTAGAAAAACTAAGAAGACAAATAATTCAACAGATCTAAAAAAAAAAAAAAAAACCTTCAAATAATAATGGTTAAACTGAAGCAAAGCATGATGTCAACTGAAAGTACAAATCAATCTAATATTGACTATTGATTTATAACAGATTCTGACAAAACAATAAGAAACAAAAAAAAAGCAAAATGCACATAAAATAGTGAACCATGTCTCAACAGACACTTAGAACACGTAGGTGTTCATTTATACAGATAAAAATACATTTCGTCACACAACTTGATCACCAAGTGGAAATTTCTAGATGTCCTGAAGCACAATTCTGCTTCAAGATTTTTCCAATCATCAGAATCCATGATTTCAACGCCTTTCTAACAAAGAGGCCTTCCTTCACTAGAAGGTAAATGTTATGACCCCATGGAACAAGTGCCCCTTGGGCTTTGAGGTCACCCAAATTATTTCTTTCCTGGTACACATTATCACTGTTGTGCCATATATGGAAATCATGAAAACAAAACAAGATAAAACATAATGCTAATACATTAGCTCAGACTTTCATAAACTTAAAACTCTTCCAAGGAAAAGAGGTCAAAGAGTAAACTTTACAAATAAATCAATTAATTCCTTGAAAATATCTGATTCTTTCATGCCTAGGTCTGAAGATAATTGGTGAAATTTCTCCTTCAAACTTGCGTGTAAGTTTGAGACAAAATGCCTATAATAGTAAGGTTGTCTCTATATCATACAGTTATGAGCAAACGTAAGCTATTCTCAAGTAAAGTTAACTTATCTTGGTCAGAAGATGGTTTAGCCAATATGACCAATGCTTTCCTGTAACACTCAGGCCCTGGGAGTTTGGGACACTAAGGTCAAGGTTCAAAGGTGACAGGAGTACTTAGCCATGGTCTCAACTGAACTTAATAAATACTGTAGATGTTCAAGAATGAACGGCCAGCACACTCCATCAAACATACAAAACATTACAGAAATGCTTATCTAATATATCGTTTATATTATATACACAAAATTGGTTAAATACAAACTATCCATGGGAGGCAAATATAATAGCCACCTTGACACAAAAATGCCATTACATTTACCCCCAAATGATAATGAAGTTGATCACTAAAACCACATACATTTGTATACCACCTCAAACCTTTGAAAACAATTAAATTATCTACAATCTATCAGAAAATATATATTATCTACATTTAATGAATGACACCATCAGATTCAACTCAAACCATTTTTACATTACACCTTTATACAATCAGAGATCATATCCATTCAATATTCACGTGAACAAGCAAACAAATTTATCAGTCACACTTATACAGATGATGTTTACAACTATCATCCTAAAAACATTCAAATTTTATTTTTCCATTTATTGTACAAATTACATGAAAATATATCTATAAATTCTACATATGCTTTGTATGACCAGACAAGATGGCATTATTAAACCAGCAACCATTTCTATTTATTGTACAAATCCAGATTTCAATCAGGTTTCTTAATCATTCTGTCATTTTGAATACACAGACACCGATTGTGTCACTTCAACTTTCAGCCTTCATGTCGCTCAGCATTATCAGTTCACCATTATTTCATCTCTAATCGTCCCTCATCGACCCTGGATTTTATTTCACATCCAACTCATTGAGTTCAAATTTCAATACAAATTTGTAATCATAGATATCATTAATATGCATCTTAACATGTATTATCCTAGAAATAATTATCTTAATTAATTACTTCTTAAATAGAGGATCTGATGCCAACTAAAATCAAGCTTCAAATTCAATAATCACAGAAACCCTTACAGTGAACTTGGTTCAATGTTACATACAAAATCTTAGTGATAATTTTAATTGTTTTTAACACATAATTTTATAAATGTATAAAACAGCTGCATTCTCTATAAAAACAAAATGTATTTTCTTTGAAATTTCTTCCTTCTCAAGATCCGTTTTGAGAAACATCTCTAACACTATGAAAAGTCACTGCAGCTCACTTCACTTACCTGGTACACAATAAATAACACACAAAATAAATGAAAAGTGGAGAAAACAGTTTTTGATAGTATGATAATGCCGTATCAAATTATCGCAGAAAAAAAAAAAAAACAAAAAAACAACAAACATAATCAACATTGAATATGACTTGGTAAATACAAATATTAACATTTTTTTTCTTTTTTTTTTCTTTTTACATATCATCCTTATAACTATCGACAATGAATGCGCCAAGAATGTATTAAGCAACCACGCATATCCTTAAAATGTAACTTTTTGATATTATATATATATAAATCTACATAAATAAATATGTATATTTAATTAGATTTATATATCTATAAATCAAATAAACTTTTTCCACTAATTTCGTAGATTTCTCCCAGGCACAATCATATCTTATTCATTCAAAGCAAACAAACATAAGGCATATTGTATCTATCACAACATCTCGTAGTGCGCTTATATCTATACCGCAGCAGGCCCATGTCGGTCAATAAGTCAGTCCATCAATGTTACAGAAAGGCAAACAATTATACGATTCTGTTGACTTGTGACAAGACCATCTCACTTCTTTTGAGATTTTATATTTGTCCTCTAGGCTTCTTGCAGATTAAATACAATTTCTGTAAAAGTAAATTTACACAGGTATCCACTAGATACAAGTTTTCATTCAAAATATAAACTATATCAGTTTTCCTATTCTCTACATCATACCACAGGTACATCATCTGTATCACTTATATCACCTCACATGTCTGCTCCTCTGGTGAACATTTGTCAATCAATAAGAACATACCAGGACCAGGACAATAGCCAATTTATCTTTCTTGCTATTTTAGGTCAGCTATTGTCTCACTGTAAAATTTGAAACTGTGAAAAAAGATTCATACATTTAACAAAGTCTACATCGTATTAATATCAACACTCCAATAAATACATTTGCTTTTAGTTGTTTATTCTAAAGACCAACACAAACACCTTTTGTTCATGTGATTCTGTCTTGAAGAATGTCACCATGCATCAGTACTGATCAAGTCAATGTAGGTGTAGAAATATTCGATAATAATCTGTCCATCTGTCCTAAACACACATTCACAGGTTCTGTCTGTTTGTCCATCCTTCCTTAACACACATTCACATGTTCTGTCTGTTTGTCCATCCTTCCTTAACACACTACTAACAGGTTCTGTCCTTTTGTTCATCTATCCTAACTATATGCTGCTCACAAGTTCTGTCCTATTATCCACACACATATTATCATCACATTTTTGATAAATTAAACTGCAGTCTGGTTTCAAAATTGCCCCTTCAGTTTCTCTTCCTACAATTTTTGATTTTGTTATTTAGATAATCACTCCAGTGTCTTACACAAGTGATAGTCTTGTGAGTAATAAAGTCGGTGATGATTTACAGTGAAGATTTACAGCGTCCTCCTATCCCGTTGGAATGACGCTGGGTAAATAATTTGACTGGCAGTGTGGCAGTGAAAAGAGATGGGGGTGAGCTGCCTAGTGAACGTCTGTGCGTCGATAGTACAGGAGATATGGAACACGGGGAGGATTGTACTTGAGAACAAACTGTAGGCCTACAGGCCTCACAATATTATCGTCTATGCTGATCCAGCCATTGATGGCAGGATGGAATACTGTAGTTGTGTAATGGCCACCCCCAGTAGCCATCTTGCCATGGTGGAACACGACTGGAAAAACAAAAAATAATCCGTGAAACAATGCATGGCTTGTAAAGACAATATAATTAATTGTAAACATACTTAATTGTCACAATACAATTTTAGCTCATTATTACATTTGGGTCAATTTGTGAAATGAGAGCATACATCCCAAATAATTACTTTATAAACACACAGAACATCTTTTTCTAGTGAAAAGCTCTATGACAATATCAAAGTAAAAATATTTATGCTCAGAATATAAAATGTTTAAAATAATTGTGTCTTCTCAACTACCATTCTGATGGACAGGAAGATACATCATCTCCAACAAGGGATCCCAGAGGGATCTTGGCACCCACCAATTTTTTAAGTTTATTTGCTCCTTGAAAGTTGGATATTTTCCCTTTTCTGTTTTTGCCCTTAATGATAAGACATATAAACATTTCTTTGCAGAAAGAGCGATGATAATCTTTACCTGCCAAATAAAAAATGGCTGCCTGGAAGCCATTTCTCCCCCTCCCCCCCCCCCTCCCCAAATCAGTCCCAAAATTAAACGACCACAAGGAGAGACCAAAGGGAACATGTGCATGAAATTTGAAAGATATCCATTCAGTACTTCTAAAGAAATAGGGATAACAATGTTTACTCGGCAAAATCCAAAATGGCTGCCTGTAGGCCATTTTGTTTTTCTGATCGGACCCAAAATCAAATGTGCACAACTTGGGACCAAGGGGAATCTACATATGAAATTCAAGATAGATCTATCCTGTACTTCTTATGATATACCAATAACAAACTTGCAAATTCAAAATCCAAGATGGCTAACACAACTAGAGATCAAAAGGTACCTACATATGAAATTTGAAGAAAAATCCATCCAGTACTTCTCAAGAAATAGCGATAACAAACTTTCAAAGGCAAAATCAAACCGACACAAGGGGAGCCTACATATGCAATTTGAGAAACATCGATCCGATACTTCTCAAGAAATAACAATAACAAAATTTGTTTACGGACGAATGGACAGATAATTGACCAGGGATGCAGGCGATTTGAACAGTATTTGAAAATCTAAATTTTGATAAATAAACTTGGGAAGAAGTTAATATGAAGGTGTACACACATATCTGTGAAACTACAGAAAAACATACCTGATAAAAGTTAATTGTACTAAACATACCTGGAAACAATTTCATGTTATTTTATATACACCTGTGAAAGTTTTAACAAACACACCTGTGAAAGTTTTAACAAACACACCTGTGAAAGTTTTAACAAACACACCTGTGAAAGTTTTCACAAACATACATGTGAAAGTATTAACAAACATACTTGTGAAATTATTAATAAACATACTTGTGAAGATTTTCACAAACACACCTGTGAACAGTTTAATATACATACCTGCAAAGAGTTTGTAAGATCTCTGGTGAAGTTGGAGCTTTGATTTGACATTTGGGGAAAGTAGATCTGTGTGAAGGAAACTTGGACTTTAGTACAATAATTTGACTTTTCGGTATCTGTTATATTCAGTTTTACATGTACATATTTCTAACATTCCACGGAGTATGCATTTTCAGTTTTGTTATATATGTATATGACCTGACATATCTTAATATAATGAATGAGTCCATTTATAGTGGGGCTTAAAGACTGTTAGAACACATCAATCAATATTTAATATAGTTTACCAACAATAAATAACTGACTTTAATCACATTTATGCGCATTTCATTGAGTCTTACATACTTATTTAATTTCTATCCAACAGATTTTTTTTGCCTTATCCTATAACCCATATCCAGTCACACTCTTGTTCTTTGAATTTTCACTGACAAGTACACTGCATATCATGCTGACAAGTGGGTGATGTAGGATCTGCTGATCCACAAAAACTTCCCAGTCCATGGGAGACAACTCACTAAATCACATTGTACAACCTCAAGTTAAGTAAGAAATTGTCGTGTAATTGTCTATGGGGAGTTATCTCCCTTCAGAAAACTCACCTCTGGTGATTTCCAGGTCTATAGGGTACTCAATCTTTTTGAGCAGTTTCTGACATCCACCATCTTTGTCGAAAACAAAATACTTGAGGTGCATGACAAGTACAGGTGGGAGTTCTTCCAGAGTAACTTTCTTGGCAACTTCCAACTACAGAAACATTTCAAAATATATATATAAGGTTTCTGCAACTAAATTGACACCATTTAATCTATGTCAACATCTTGATATTAACATTCAAACAAGAGGCCCATAGGGCCTGTATCACTCACGTAGATATTAAAAACCCAGCAATGTTATACATGCCTATAGGGTGGGTATTTCAAATAAAAAGGAGGAGGGGCACCATTTATACAAAACTGATTCCCATTCAGTCAATTCACTTGACACTCAACAATTCTTGAAACCAATTTTGGGCAAAATCCTATCATTCCTACTGGAGAAGTAGGATTTTAAGGAATTTGCTCTATATACCCTATTGTTGTACCCTGCTCCTTTACCTGCATATAAAAATGCCCGTCTAGAAGCCATTTTCTTTCTACTGATCAATCGCAAAATCAAATGGGCGAAAGGAGAGACCAAAGGAAGCTACATATGAAATTTAAGAGATATCCATTCAGTACTTCTTAAGAAATAGGGATAACAATGTTTTTGGTTTTCTGATCAGTCCCACACTCAAACTTTCACAACTAGGGACCAAAAGGAACCTTACATGAAATTTAAGAAAGATCTATTCTGTAGTTCTCAAGAAATAGTGACATCAAACTTTTGAAATAAAAATCTAAGATGGCTGTCTGTCGGCCATTTTTTTTTCTCTGATCACTACCAAAATTACACAGGCACAACTAGGGATTAAGGGAAAGATCTATGCTGTTCTCATGAAATAGCAATAACAAACTTTCAAAGTCAAAATCTGATTAGTCCATCCAGTGCTTCTGAAGTAATAGTAACAACAAGCTTTCAAAGTAAAAAATCACGATGGCTGCCTTCCTATCATTAAGACTAGAGAACAAGGGAAACCTACATATAAAATTAATGAGATATTCCATCCAGAATTTTTCAAGCAATAACAAACCATTGAAAAAAAATTCAAGATGGCCACCTGTTGGCCATTTTGTATTTTTTGATCAGTCCCAAAATCAAACAGGCACAAAAATCCGGGATTACCTGAAGTCTGTGATTTTAGCTAACCAAGATAATAATACAAATTTCTGTACAATTCTGATCTCGCTGTATATGAAGTTTTAAAAGAATTGACGGTCCTATCATACCTCCTGCTTTGTCTTGGTACAGGTGTAACCACTGATGGATTCCTTTATTACTAATCCCTCCAGGGCGTCCTTAACACTGTACACCTTGTCTGTCTGTAACACAAATCACATCATATCTCACAGCATTGCTTACATTTCTTCTAGTCGTTTACACACACATAGCAACTTACAATGTTTGTCATCAAAATATCACATCACAAAAACAGAAATATATTTCAACATTATTTTTCCTAACTGACTGATGTAATTCCCCAAACTTGCATAATAAGACCTAATGCCAAATGTCCAAACATTTGAGTTTATTTTCTTGGTACACAAGTTATTACTATCAGTATCATTTCTGGGCCACTTTCATACAGGTTCACAAGAGTGATAAACGGGAGTTGGCATGAACTCACTTTACAATTTTTGTGTAACAAATGGCCCCATTGGCCTGAAGCGCTCACTTGGTGTTTATATATATATATATATATATATCAACTTAATATGCCTCTAGGCCTTTTAGTCTATGAGAAGAAGTCTTTTAAAGATTTTTGCAAATTTGACTCCTGTAGGCTTGAATGCTAGTCAAGGTCATTTCTTTTCACAAATTTTGTTGGACTTTATCCTAAGAACATACCAGCCAAATATCAAAACATTTGGTCCATTGGTTATTGAGAAGTTGTTTAAAGGAAAAAGTTGATGCCGAATGGATGGGCACCGTGCCATGGCACAAGCTCACTTGGCCCTTCTGGTCAAGTGAGCTAATACATTATATAAATATGTGAATATAAGACCAGATAGTTACCTGTACGTCCAGCTGAAGGGTGAAGAATGGTTGGAGGGTGGCTGATTCCTTGGCTGATGATTTAAACACGGCTGACCTCATATAGCCAACAAAAATATCAGCTATAGGACTCTTTGAAAACATAGCCTGTAGTTTAAATGAGACACATTATCATTCAAGAGACAAATTATTTTGTAATACATTGCTTAAGACAAACATCCTGAAACCTTTTTCCCCACCAAAAAATCTTTTGATTTTTGAAAATCTAAATAACACTGAAATGGCTGAACAGTCTTGCCATGAAATAGAGGGAATAGCATATAGTAAATACCTTGCGTGTAAGGGCACTGCGCTTTTTCGGTCCAACTTGTTCCCAGGAGTCCTCCGACATCTCAGATTCTGCGTCTTCCTCCGGTTCAAAACCATTAGCCTCTGCTTCTGTAATGATATACAATATTTTTGTCACTTGATCTAAAAATTCATATGTACTAATCACTCGCCTCAAATCTCAGTATCACTGTGATATATCCCTGATGTAATTCAATAATTAAAGCTATATAAGAGTATTTCTCCCACATTTCTGCATGCCACCAAATCTTGCGCTGGATTCATTTCCTTCAAGAAGACAATACATGCATTATCTACGAAACCTGCAGGGGTTGCCATTTTATGTTGTATGCCCGTCTCTTAAAATTCATACTACTTTTGATACCGATATCTTTATCGATACAAGATTGTCTACTTCAAATGGTCCTAGTAATACTAGATATCAGCTGTAACTCAGAGTAGCTAGATGAACAGACTTTGATGTGTTTCTTGTTTTATTACTTCAAACTTGGCATCACTTTAGTCTGATCCCAAAAGTTCAGCCAACTATTGATATCAGTATACCTGGTGTAGAGTCTTGGCTACCGTTGACCAGTTGTATGACCGAAGCCATCTCCTCATGTAGTCCATCAAGGATACAGCTAAGGAATTCTTCAGCATCCTCCTGTCGCCCCAGCTATTAACAGAGTTAACTCCCTTTAAAATTCATTCACATTTACGCCAAAGAAATTCTAGAGAAATTCTGTTTTGTTAGACATCATATTTTTTCCTTTTGAAAATTAATGATAATATAATGAACTCAAAGTTGAAGTGAAACATTAAAGAAAGTCTGCATTAGGATAAGTTTTTATAATAAAAAAGATGTTTTTTCAACAACGCATCATGTGGGCTTATTCAACAGTTGTGTAAAATTCAATGATATATGTATCTCATTAGTTTCAACAAACTGCTTCTTATATTACATATTAAATATTTTTTTCATTCTTTGGCAAAATGTTTATCGTTTAAACAGTAAGAATCTAGTTAAAGTAAGATTTAAAACAAAGAATCCAACTGATCTCTGATGAGAGTACAGACATGTTGAGTGATCTATACATCACCAATCGTTTTCTAACACTTTGGTAAAAGTCTGCGTAAAACACTATCTTAGAAGACAACTTCTATCCTACCCCAGGAATTCAGATTTTGTTTATTTGTATTGCCCTTGGAGTTTACTTGATAATTTGCTTCAGTAGACAAAAAACAAGTCCTGGGGTTAAGTAGAAGTTTTATTTGAATAGTAAAATTGTTCTAAAAAGATTTCAATACTTAACAAGAGATCCCAGAGGGATCTTGGCGCCCACCACTTGAGGATCTGTTTTCAGTTCTTGAAGATTTGTTTATTTTTTTTTGTTTGTTACAGGTGTTGTAAATGTTCATGAAGTGCTTACAAAAAGCAGGTTATTGACAAATATCAATTTAAGACGTTTATATGATGTCGTCACAACAGGAAAATGACATCAAAATAAAACTTCTTTTTACATAATGGATCTCCGAGGGATTTTGGTGTTCACCATTAAATTGACTTTGATGGGCAAAGGAACCAAGTTAAACCGTACATATCAAGCTTGAAAAAAAAACTATCAAGAACTTCCAGAAATAGCTAAAACAAACTGTCAAAATCCAAATGGCTGCCTGTTACTATTTGGTTAATTAATAAATAGATAAATATCAAAATAAAACGAGCACAACTAGAGACCGTGGCAAACATATACATTAAGTTTGAGAAATATCTCTCAAAGCAAGGATTGTTTACTGACAGACGATGGATGAAGGTGAATTAAAACAGGCTGATGCCATCAGGTGGCAAGTTCACATTTAACAGTAGGCTAAGTATACATTAATTTGGTTCTTATTGTAGATCGTAGTTAACAAGTAGGAATTATACACTTCTGCACTGGAGCTGCTGTTCTTCTCTATTACAGACACATATATAATAGATAGCTGTGAGGACAACCTACCATGAATGTTTAGTTTGAGTAAAGACTTACGGTGAATGTCTGGTTTGACAGAAGACTTACCCTAAATGTCTGGTTTGACAGAAGACTTACCCTATATGTCTGGTTTGACAGAAGACTTACGGTGAATGTCTGGTTTGACAGAAGACTTACGGTGAATGTCTGGTTTAACAGAAGACTTACGGTGAATGTCTGGTTTGACAAAAGACTTACCCTAAATGTCTGGTTTGACAGAAGACTTACCCTAAATGTCTGGTTTGACAGAAGACTTACGGTGAATGTCTGGTTTGACAAAAGACTTTCCCCTAAATGTCTGGTTTGACAGAAGACTTACCCTAAATGTCTGGTTTGACTGAAGACTTACCCTAAATGTCTGGTTTGACAGAAGACTTACCCTAAATGTCTGGTTTGACTGAAGACTTACCCTAAATGTCTGGTTTGACAGAAGACTTACGGTGAATGTCTGGTTTGACAGAAGACTTACCCTAAATGTCTGGTTTGACTGAAGACTTACCCTAAATGTCTGGTTTGACAGAAGACTTACCCTATATGTCTGGTTTGACTGACAGAATTTACCCTAAATGTCTGGTTTGACAGAAGACTTTCGGTGAATGTCTGGTTTGACAGAAGACTTACCCTAAATGTCTGGTTTGACTGAAGACTTACCCTAAATGTCTGGTTTGACAGAAGACTTACGGTGAATGTCTGGTTTGACAGAAGACTTACGGTGAATGTCTGGTTTAACAGAAGACTTATGGTGAATGTCTGGTTTGACAAAAGACTTACCCTAAATGTCTGGTTTAACAGAAGACTTACGGTGAATGTCTGGTTTGACAAAAGACTTTCCCCTAAATGTCTGGTTTGACAGAAGACTTACCCTAAATGTCTGGTTTAACAGAAGACTTACGGTGAATGTCTGGTTTGACAAAAGACTTACCCTAAATGTCTGGTTTGACAGAAGACTTACCCTAAATGTCTGGTTTGACAGAAGACTTACGGTGAATGTCTGGTTTGACAGAAGACTTACCCTAAATGTCTGGTTTGACTGAAGACTTACCCTAAAAGTCTGGTTTGACAGAAGACTTACCCTATATGTCTGGTTTGACTGACAGAATTTACCCTAAATGTCTGGTTTGACAGAAGACTTTCGGTGAATGTCTGGTTTGACAGAAGACTTACCCTAAATGTCTGGTTTGACAGAAGACTTACCCTAAATGTCTGGTTTGACTGAAGACTTACCCTAAATGTCTGGTTTGACAGAAGACTTTCGGTGAATGTCTGGTTTGACAGAAGACTTACCCTAAATGTCTGGTTTGACAGAAGACTTACCCTAAATGTCTGGTTTGACAGAAGACTTACCCTAAATGTCTGGTTTGACAGAAGACTTACCCTAAATGTCTGGTTTGACAGAAGACTTACCCTAAATGTCTGGTTTGACAGAAGACTTACCCTAAATGTCTGGTTAGCCTGCATTACTTGTAACATCTTGTAGACATTGACTGGCTCAAACTCCTTCCCCTGTGTGATATCTTGAAATGGCTTACGGTTTTTATGTGGTCCTATAAGATTGTAAAGATCAGTTTCGATAATAAAAAAGATATGTTTTTTAACAATGCATCATGAGGACTGATTCCACAATTGTGTAAAATTCAATAATATATATATTTCATTAGTTTCAACAAAATGTTTCATATATTAAATTTCAAATATTTTTTTCATTCTTTGGAAAAACATCAATCGTTTAAACTGTAAGAATCTAGTTAAAGTAAGATTTAAGACAAAGACTGAATACAATTGATCTCGGATGAGACCATATGATTTCCAATTTTGGTGTGCCTTTAGCCATGGAAGGTTTTTGTAAAATTTCATTGAAATCAGTTTTCGGAGTTTTCCTGAAGAAGTTGATAACATTAAAAGTTTATGATGCACAATGCGTGAAGCTGGACAAAATCGCGATTGAGACCTTATAAAAGTTAAGCAATAAGCCCATCTCTTCAAAGTGTCTCTGTTGGGTGCTCCCTGTGAGGACATTTATGAATCATTTGCTGATGATTCATCTTTGTTTACATTTTTTATAAAAGATCGTCTAATGTTTTCTGAAAAGGCCTACAATATGACTTTTTAGTAAAGGCCATCTCCTATCTAATGTTTGATGTGTTCTGCTAGAAATCTCTATTATTGATGGATTGGTTATTCACATTCATTATTAAATATTTATATACATATATTCTTGCACTTTTTTCTTTAATTTTCACCTAAATTTACAATGTTTATCATTGTAATTACTCTTCAATATTTGGAGGAAATAAAGAAATTATGAATAAAGATATATTGCTCTGCTTGGAATAATTAGAAACATATGCTTAAAAATTAACAAATACGAAAGCTTACCTCTGTCAGTATTTCTGGCGTATGGCGAGAACTCGTTCACAAACTCCACCCTGTATAAAGAAACATGAAGATATTGGTGTTTAATTCCTGATACTGTGATGCAGTTTACTGGTAATGACCTGATATTTTAATTCTTTTTTTTTCATGCTCTGAAAATGTTTGGGGGAGCATAAAGTTACCACCTTCTTTAAAGGTCATCAAATCTTACACACATTTCCACTCCGAGATAGCTTGTAAAACATAAAAGCCACTACCTGGTCATTTCCATTTTGACAAAATATTTTTTTACATAAAAGCCACTATTTCCATTTTGACAAAATATTTTTTTATTCTTGATAGCATCAATAAGAATTAATTTCTAGATGTAATATCTAGATTTTCTTAAATCCATGATTTGTTTATTTAGGTGGTGAAAACTTGTGTGCCGCACTCTACCTGCAATTTTCTGATTTTTTTTTCTTTTCTTTTTTTTTTTCTTTTTGCATATCACAGCGATTTGATGGCTTGATTTAAGATTTTTAAAAATTCCAAACAATAATATTTTTCTGCTATTAAAGACGCAAATTTCACTCAGAAAAAAGGCAAAATTCATATTTGATCTCTCACGGGTTGTTTGTTTCCGTGGTAACGTTACTCCTTCAGTCAGATGTATGTTTGTTATCAAGTGAAAAATATGTAAAACTTGAGCCATCCTTAGTATAAGAAATTCACCTCTGACCTTAAATCACACTTGTGTTCAATTTGTACCTTTTACTGCAGATGTAGATATTCTCCATTTTCTACTCACTTGTAAATTCTGTACAGATTGACAAATGCCACTTATAAAAACTCGAGACTCTCTGTTGTACTTACATACAATCTAACACTGGAGTACTACTGGCTGCCCTCTCTGTTGTACTTACATACAATCTAACACTGGAGTACTACTGGCTCCCCTCTCTGTTGTACTTACATACAATCTAACACTGGAGTACTACTGGCTGTCCTCTCTGTTGTACTTACATACAATCTAACACTGGAGTACTACTGGCTCCCCTCTCTGTTGTACTTACATACAATCTAACACTGGAGTACTACTGGCTGTCCTCTCTGTTGTACTTACATACAATCTAACACTGGAGTACTACTGGCTCCCCTCTCTGTTGTACTTACATACAATCTAACACTGGAGTACTACTGGCTCCCCTCTCCTCTCTGTTGTACTTACATACAATCTAACACTGGAGTACTACTGGCTGTCCTCTCTGTTGTACTTACATACAATCTAACACTGGAGTACTACTGGCTCCCCTCTCCTCTCTGTTGTACTTACATACAATCTAACACTGGAGTACTACTGGCTGCCCTCTCTGTTGTACTTACATACAATCTAACACTGGAGTACTACTGGCTCCCCTCTCTGTTGTACTTACATACAATCTAACACTGGAGTACTACTGGCTCCCCTCTCCTCTCTGTTGTACTTACATACAATCTAACACTGGAGTACTACTGGCTCCCCTCTCTGTTGTACTTACATACAATCTAACACTGGAGTACTACTGGCTGTCCTCTCTGTTGTACTTACATACAATCTAACACTCTCTGTTGTTGTACTTACATACAATCTAACACTGGAGTACTTACTACTCTAACACCTCTCCTCTCTGTTGTACTTACATACAATCTAACACTGGAGTACTACTGGCTCCCCTCTCTGTTGTACTTACATACAATCTAACACTGGAGTACTACTGGCTGTCCTCTCTGTTGTACTACAATCTAACACTACAACTTACTAACACACTGGAGTACTACTGGCTGTCCTCTCTGTTGTACTTACATACAATCTAACACTGGAGTACTACTGACTGTCCTCTCTGTTGTACTTACATACAATCTAACACTGGAGTACTACTGGCTCCCCTCTCTGTTGTACTTACATACAATCTAACACTGGAGTACTACTGACTGTCCTCTCTGTTGTACTTACATACAATCTAACACTGGAGTACTACTGACTGTCCTCTCTGTTGTACTTACATACAATCTAACACTGGAGTACTACTTGCTCCCCTCTCCTCTCTGTTGTACTTACATACAATCTAACACTGGAGTACTACTGGCTCCCCTCTCCTCTCTGTTGTACTTACATACAATCTAACACTGGAGTACTACTTGCTCCCCTCTCCTCTCTGTTGTACTTACATACAATCTAACACTGGAGTACTACTGGCTCCCCTCTCTGTTGTACTTACATACAATCTAACACTGGAGTACTACTTGCTCCCCTCTCCTCTCTGTTGTACTTACATACAATCTAACACTGGAGTACTACTGACTGTCCTCTCTGTTGTACTTACATACAATCTAACACTGGAGTACTACTGGCTGTCCTCTCTGTTGTACTTACATACAATCTAACACTGGAGTACTACTGGCTCCCCTCTCTGTTGTACTTACATACAATCTAACACTGGAGTACTACTGGCTCCCCTCTCTCTCTGTTGTACATACAATCTAACAATCTAACACTGGAGTACTACTGGCTCCCCTCTCTGTTGTACTTACATACAATCTAACACTGGAGTACTACTGGCTCCCCTCTCCTCTCTGTTGTACTTACATACAATCTAACACTGGAGTACTACTGGCTGTCCTCTCTGTTGTACTTACATACAATCTAACACTGGAGTACTACTGGCTGTCCTCTCTGTTGTACTTACATACAATCTAACACTGGAGTACTACTGGCTCCCTCTCTTGTACTACTACTGTACAAATCTAACACTGGAGTACTACTCTCTGGCTGTGGAGTACTACTCTCCCCTCTCTGTTGTACTTACATACAATCTAACACTGGAGTACTACTGGCTGTCCTCTCTGTTGTACTTACATACAATCTAACACTGGAGTACTACTGACTGTCCTCTCTGTTGTACTTACATACAATCTAACACTGGAGTACTACTGGCTGTCCTCTCTGTTGTACTTACATACAATCTAACACTGGAGTACTACTGGCTCCCCTCTCTGTTGTACTTACATACAATCTAACACTGGAGTACTACTGGCTCCCCTCTCCTCTCTGTTGTACTTACATACAATCTAACACTGGAGTACTACTGGCTCCCCTCTCTGTTGTACTTACATACAATCTAACACTGGAGTACTACTGGCTCCCCTCTCCTCTCTGTTGTACTTACATACAATCTAACACTGGAGTACTACTGGCTGTCCTCTCTGTTGTACTTACATACAATCTAACACTGGAGTACTACTGGCTGCCCTCTATGTTGTACTTACATACAATCTAACACTGGAGTACTACTGGCTGTCCTCTCTGTTGTACTTACATACAATCTAACACTGGAGTACTACTGGCTGCCCTCTCCTCTCTGTTGTACTTACATACAATCTAACACTGGAGTACTACTGGCTCCCCTCTCCTCTCTGTTGTACTTACATACAATCTAACACTGGAGTACTACTGGCTGCCCTCTCCTCTCTGTTGTACTTGCATACAATCTAACACTGGAGTACTACTGGCTCCCCTCTCCTCTCTGTTGTACTTACATACAATCTAACACTGGAGTACTACTGGCTGCTCTCTGTTGTACTTACCCTCTCCTCTCTGTTGTACTTACATACAATCTAACACTGGAGTACTACTGGCTCCCCTCTCTGTTGTACTTACATACAATCTAACACTGGAGTACTACTGGCTCCCCTCTCCTCTCTGTTGTACTTAGGCATTCTGCGCAGTAGGTCACAAAATGGAGGACAGGCTATTAAAGCCTGAAGTGTCTGAGGGAAGTGAAGGAAGACAAATGTTCAATTTAACTGGGCATATAAAATAATTCACCCTTGTTTGCCCAGATACAAGAGTACAGGTGAAACTTATTAGGGAGGGAATCAGAGTACCTAGAGGGCATGTGACCCTACATTTGATTGTAGAATTGAATAATTTTATCCTTTGCAACAGTATGCTACTTATTGTGCCAAATGAGACTGACCATTTTAGCATGTTGTTTAATTCTTTGACCTTGAAAATAAGTCATCAAAATCTAATCCAGTGTTAAAATTTATGCTACCAATCCAACTGATGTAAAATTAATTCAGGGTTTCATGAGTCATATCTTATAAAAGGATGACCTTTGACCTTGTGACATTGGTCATATCCAAGAGACAAGAACTTGGTGAAGCAATTGACACCACAACATTTATGGTAAGAGACTTTAACCTTAATCTGTCTTGGCTTCATGGAATATCTCATCCACAAATCCAAATGTTCATATGAGATTACACATAGACAAGGTTTTACACGCTCCCCTCCCTCCTTGCTAACACCAACTGGGATTACAGTAAGATTTATCAAGCATAATTCCAGTGTACAGATGTCAGGAAGACCAGCAAACCTAACTTGGTAAATCCAATATCTCCAAACAAGTATAAAACATCTCTGGATTTAATATCATACAAGTAAAATGGAAATCATTTTAGGTCGACAACGACAAGGTTTTCAATAATATCATTACTTGTATCAATTTTTCACAATACAATTGATTACAATCTTTCAAAAAATTAATTGAATTTCAGGATCCATTTCTTTACATAGTAGAATATTGAAATCTACTGCTTGAATTGGTGTCATTAGTTTTGCTAGCAGTTGAATATTTTGACTGTTTGCTATAATATATACTTGTAATAAAGGATACAGCATTGATGTAACACCAGTTGCCACGGTTGACCAGTCCACGTGGGGTCAGTCCAACCTGGACATGACTCACTCTCAAGTTGCTTAAGGCCTCTGTAACATGGTAAATATGGTATCAATTTTTGTTTACTTGATCTGCAACTGGAACAAGGATAAAAGGAAAGCAAAAAAAAGCTCTAACACATACAGGTACCACCTTTTCAATGATTCCTGAATTGTATATGATTGATGAATTAAGCATTAAACTGACTTACCTTTACAAATTTGACAAAATAGAAACTAACATACAATGCCTTAATTGCAGGAAAGGTGTCTTCCAGGGTTTCAGTGTCCCAGCTGCTGTTGGCTGTGACCTTAAGAATCACACCTCTGTCACTCAGTCACAACCAATAACAATCTGGGTACATAGATCCACTGGTCAACTGCCTTTCATTATCTACCCTGAAATAGAACTACAGACTACATTAAAACATATTTGAAGTATGAATTCAATGAAAACATTTTCAGTAAATTGTAAAAAATATAAAAAAGTAGGAACTGAAGTGAAAAATTAGGGCTTTTTTAGGAATTCCCTTTGAATTTTTCATTTTTTTTAGGAATTTTAGCAAAACTGAAAAAAATTAGGATTTTTAAAGGAATTTTAAGGACGCTGGACAGCCTGATAAATTTTAAGGTCCATCCTTTTGTTAACTCTAATGTACTTCCATGTTAAATATTGTTTGAAATGCATGAATTAAAGGAACCTTTCTTTAGTCATCATTGTGCAATATCCAACTCAATCCTAACATCATATTGTAATCTGCAAGTGTTAATGATTAAACTGTGAACTTACTTAATTTGGAACAATCAAACTGCAGCACATTATCAATTTTTAGCAAATAAGCACAATGATAAAATGGCACATTTACAATAATTGTTATATAAAGATTATAAGGAAACAGGAATTAGTGTAACCATGTATTAGCGCAATATTTTCATCATTGAATGGTTCAGTGGTGTTGTTATAGTTCCTAATACACGACTCAGATCTTAAACCAAAACATGATATGGTTGTATTCACTAGACACAATAGAGGTATAACAATACCAGACAGAATTCTATTAAAACTACAACACATGAAAAATAATATATTTATAATTTTGTGTTTAGGTACAATTCTGGATAATTCACCTACTTCATCCAGAGATTGTTCTCTTTAACAAATAAAACACAAACAATTATTTCATGTGCGTATTGTGTTAATTACCTCCAAAACTGGTTGCCAGTTTATCATCCTCTGCCCTTACTGGACCACTGGGTACACTAACGTCTTTTGTCACATGTTGCTTTACCTCCGGCGGAGGAGGTGTGTTTTCCACATGTGTTACACTATAGGGAACGGTACCTGTTGCTGGTGGGGTCACATTTTTGAAAAGTCCTGCCCATGAAAACGCCATAGCAGGTTTTGGCTGTTCGGACTGAACAGGTCGACTAGGATCACTTTCGTTTGCGAGCTTCAGATCACCACTCCCTTGTTGAGATGTGTTTACTTCACTAGCGTCATTAACTACAGTACTATTCACACTTGGTTCTGGTGTGTTTTGATGAACAGAATCACTGACTTGGAGATAAGATTCGCGAACTTGGTGAATTGGTTCAATGACTTGGTGATCAGATTCAGCGACTCGAATATTTTCACTATTTTGTTCATTGGGTGGCACCACTTGTTCATTGACCTGCATCCTCTGTGATGTGGTCTGCTTATTGTAATTGTCTTGTTTATTTAAATCCATGGAATTTAATGAAATTGCAGCTGCCACAGGAGGGTTATGAGGAGAAGGAGAAACATTAAAGCCGGGGGGTCTGTTTACATGTACACCTGTATTAGATCCAGCAGAAATGTTGTCCATGACAGGGGTACCATGGTTAGAATCATGGACAACATTGCCGGTCTGTGGAACTTGATGAGGATGAGGAGGAGGATGTGCATAGTTAGGGTTGTCTCCCCTTGTGTTTTGTGACACACTGAGATCAGACAGTTGGTGTGACACTTTCCCCACCAGTTCATGTTGATCCACAGGTGGATGTGTCAGATGTGGGGCAACCTGTGGATTGGCAATCTGTGGTGGGAGAGAAGATGTGGACAAATTTTCCGGTGAAACATTATGGCCACTCTGGTCCATCTGATGGGTGGCCTGTGGAGATGAACTGTATGCATACTGATTTACAGCTGAATTCTGATGTGATGGTGGAATACCACTCATGTTTCTGTTGATACTCTGCTGGGCAGGAATGGGATATGATCCCAGAGCCATGTTACCCATGGGTGGTGGCTGGCCACGACCTGGGATAGAACTTTGATGATATGTTTGGGATTGGTCCATTACACCCATGTGTGCCCCCTCCCTTGGGAGTGAGGCTTCTCGTACGACTTGTGGGGGATCCACTATCCCCATATGGGCCCCCTCTCGTGGGAGACAGCTTCCATTTCTAGCATCAGGGGTATTTTCTGTGGCCAACATTGCCGGACCCTGCTGAGGGATGGAACCTTGATGAATAGCCTGTTGGGGGTAGACCATAGTGGGAGCGGTGTTTTGTTGGGGGTAGGGATGCTCCTGAACCATGCCAACTGCAGGAGGTCTCTGATCATGGAATGGAGGCTGTGTGTGCTGAGCTACAGGTGATTCATTGTGTCTTACCTCTGGAGGTACGGACGGGTAGTTAAGAGGCATGAAATCAAAGTTTTGAGATGAGACCTGTCCAGCTGCACTGTCAGCCCAGTTCCCAACGTTCCCTTGGACAATGTCATTCTGTGACTGCCTTTCTGCCTCCTCCAGCTTTTCATAATAACCAGGAGGGCGTTTCTTTTTATTTCTACGTTGCTTACCACCACCCTGGGACATTTCTGACTGATTGGGATCATAACCAAATTCAACAGAAGCTTGGTAATTTGGATCCTCCCTTGGAAATTGGTTTCCATAAACTTCACTTTGTTGACTGTCCTGATAAGTTTGTCTGTTTCCTTCAAACTTGGCTGAATTCATCTGTTCATGGCTGTTTTTCATAGGCTGTGTATACTGCTGTTGAGGAGGGCCTTCAGGATGGAATTGTTGGTAATTGGCGATGGGACCTGTGTTCATATTCATCACTACAGAGTTTGTTTCTGTAGCAATCACCCGGTCACCTCCCTGGGCTGTAAATGTAAAGGTCAAATTAGAAACATTACTTTCATGTTCATCTACCACTGTAATTCATTTACCACATCAGTGTTACAAACCGAACTGGTCTAGCAGATACTCTGCAAGGGATCAAGTGAATCTCAGAATCAATATTTTGTTTAATATTTCAAAGTATTGACTTAACTACAAGTAAAATTTTCTTTTTCAAATACTGACAAGTAATTTTTTGAATTCCATATAACTTGGCTATAATGCAGAAGCTTTTTGACCCTTGGAGGTCAACTAGTAATGTAAACTTTTACAAACCCAGGTATCCACATTAAAAACGATACAACTACGTATCAACACTAACAAATATTACAAACCAAAGTGTCAACACTAACAATATTACAAACCAAAGTATCAACACTAACAAATATTACAAACCAAAGTGTCAACACTAACAAATATTACAAACCAAAGTGTCAACACTAACAGTTTTACAAACCCAAGTGTCAACACTAACAAATATTACAAACCAAAGTGTCAACACTAACAGTTTTACAAACCCAAGTGTCAACACTAACAAATATTACAAACCAAAGTGTCAACACTAACAGTTTTACAAACCCAAGTGTCAACACTAACAAATATTACAAACCAAAGTGTCAACACTAACAGTTTTACAAACCCAAGTGTCAACACTAACAAATATTACAAACCAAAGTGTCAACACTAACAGTTTTACAAACCAAAGTGTCAACACTAACAATATTACAAACCAAAGTATCAACACTAACAAATATTACAAACCAAAGTATCAACACTAACAAATATTACAAACCAAAGTGTCAACACTAACAATATTACAAACCCAAGTGTCAACACTAACAAATATTACAAACCAAAGTGTCAACACTAACAGTTTTACAAACCCAAGTGTCAACACTAACAGTTTTACAAACCCAAGTGTCAACACTAACAAATATTACAAACCAAAGTGTCAACACTAACAGTTTTACAAACCCAAGTGTCAACACTAACAAATATTACAAACCAAAGTGTCAACACTAACAATATTACAAACCAAAGTATCAACACTAACAAATATTACAAACCCAAGTGTCAACACTAACAATATTACAAACCAAGGTGTCGACACTAACAATATTACAAACCAAAGTGTCAACACTAACAAATATTACAAACCCAAGTGTCAACACTAACAAATATTACAAACCAAAGTATCAACACTAACAAATATTACAAACCAAAGTATCAACACTAAGTGTCAACACTAACAATATTACAAACCAAGTGTCAACACTAACAATATTACACTGTCAACACTAACAATATTACAAACCAAAGTGTCAACACTAACAATATTACAAACCCAAGTGTCAACACTTAACAATATACAAACCAAGTGTCAACACTAACAAATATTACAAACCAAAGTGTCAACACTAACAATATTACAAACCCAAGTATCAACACTAACAATATTACAAACCCAAGTGTCAACACTAACAAATATTACAAACCCAAGTGTCAACACTAACAATATTACAAACCAAAGTGTCAACACTAACAGTTTTACAAACCAAAGTGTCAACACTAACAATATTACAAACCAAAGTGTCAACACTAACAATATTACAAACCCAAGTGTCAACACTAACAATATTACAAACCCAAGTGTCAACACTAACAATATTACAAACTCAAGTGTCAACACTAACAATATTACAAACCAAAGTGTCAACACTAACAATATTACAAACCCAAGTGTAAACACTATCAATATTACTAACTCAAGTGTCAACACTAACAATATTACAAACCACTAACAGTTTTACAAACCAAAGTGTCAACACTAATTACAAAACACTAACAGTATTACAAACCAAAGTGTCAACACTAACAATATTACAAACCCAAGTGTAAACACTATCAATATTACAAACCCAAGTGTCAACACTAACAATATTACAAACCAAAGTGTAAACACTAACAGTTTTACAAACCAAAGTGTCAACACTAACAATATTACAAACCAAAGTGTCAACACTAACAATATTACAAACCCAAGTGTCAACACTAACAATATTACAAACCAAAGTATCAACACTAACAAATATTACAAAAGTGTCCACTAAGTATCAACACTAACAATATTACAAACCAAAGTGTCAACACTAACAGTCAACACTAACAATATTACAAACCAAAGTGTCAACACTAACAGTTTTACAAACCCAAGTGTCAACACTAACAAATATTACAAACCAAAGTGTCAACACTAACAGTTTTACAAACCCAAGTGTCAACACTAACAAATATTACAAACCAAAGTGTCAACACTAACAATATTACAAACCAAAGTGTCAACACTAACAATATTACAAACCAAAGTGTCAACACTAACAATATTACAAACCCAAGTGTCAACACTATAACACTAACAATATAACAAACCCAAGTGTCAACACTAACAGTTTTACAAACCAAAGTGTCAACACTAACAATATTACAAACCAAAGTGTCAACACTAACAATATTACAAACTCAAGTGTCAACACTAACAATATTACAAACCAAAGTGTCAACACTAACAATATTACAAACCAAAGTGTCAACACTAACAATATTACAAACCCAAGTGTCAACACTAACAGTTTTACAAACCAAAGTGTCAACACTAACAATATTACAAACCCAAGTATCAACACTAACAATATTACAAACCCAAGTGTCAACACTAACAAATATTACAAACCCAAGTGTCAACACTAACAATATTACAAACCAAAGTGTCAACACTAACAGTTTTACAAACCAAAGTGTCAACACTAACAATATTACAAACCAAAGTGTCAACACTAACAATATTACAAACCCAAGTGTAAACACTATCAATATTACAAACCCAAGTGTCAACACTAACAATATTACAAACCAAAGTGTAAACACTAACAGTTTTACAAACCAAAGTGTCAACACTAACAATATTACAAACCAAAGTGTCAACACTAACAATATTACAAACCCAAGTGTAAACACTATCAATATTACTAACTCAAGTGTCAACACTAACAATATTACAAACTAAAGTGTAAACACTAACAGTTTTACAAACCAAAGTGTCAACACTAACAATATTACAAACCAAAGTGTAAACACTAACAGTTTTACAAACCAAAGTGTCAACACTAACAATATTACAAACCCAAGTGTAAACACTATCAATATTACAAACCCAAGTGTCAACACTAACAATATTACAAACCAAAGTGTAAACACTAACAGTTTTACAAACCAAAGTGTCAACACTAACAATATTACAAACCAAAGTGTCAACACTAACAATATTACAAACCCAAGTGTAAACACTATCAATATTACTAACTCAAGTGTCAACACTAACAATATTACAAACCAAAGTGTAAACACTAACAGTTTTACAAACCAAAGTGTCAACACTAACAATATTACAAACCAAAGTGTAAACACTAACAGTTTTACAAACCAAAGTGTCAACACTAACAATATTACAAACCAAAGTGTCAACACTAACAGTTTTACAAACCCAAGTGTCAACACTAACAGTGACCCATTGTACAAAGGACTTTACTGTTCACACAAACAAGATCCATTGTACAAAACTGTCCAGACTAACAAGGGTCCATTTTAATACACAAGTCCAATTTTCAACTTACCAATATCTGGTTGGGACATTTCAGCCTCATCCCATGGGAACTGCAACATGAAATATATGTAGTAAATGTTCAGAAATAGCAATGTGGAAAATGTACAACAGAGGGAGAAACAGAGTGGTTTTGTTTCAAACCAAATTGCACACAATTTGACTGTTCTGTTGATCAACACAACCCTTTATTAAGTAACAGGGAACTTGCAACCCATTCAGAGTTAAGAGTTAATGAATATAAGTTTCTAATACTTAAAGTTACAAAGTAAAGACATGATTCATTTGGTCAGTCACCACTACAATGTTACTGATCCTGTGATTGACGACATCAGACTTTAAATGTTACATGTAGATTATTCTGTATACAGAAACTACTGTGCTTTATAATATTTTTCTGAATAAATCATTGACTAATCATAAAACAGAACAAAACAAAACCTATTATGTGGCAAATAAAACTATGAAATGTTGGAGATCTTGCACCGGACAAAAACAATTCTTGCACTGTCAACAGATTTTTTATTTGCCTTGATAGAGAGCAGCATTTACTTTTTATACAAAATAAGTTCCTATATAAACCTACCTCCACTTTCCTGTCCTCAGTTGAACTTCTAGGTCCATACAGAATCTTTTTGATATTATTCTGTTCATGTTGGTCCAGGGTATCGAAGTCCCCAAACATCAAGTCCTATAAATTGAAATATATTTCATCTTATAGATATCAGATTTGTCTATAAACCTTGATACACAGTAAAACAGAATTTGCATAATTGTGTATATCAATGTTTTGTGAAGATGACAATAATGTGGAATCCAGTAAAAAAAATTAATGGAGAAGTTTTTCTTCAACACAAATACTGTATTTATCCTGCAATAGGCCCAGAGAACTGCCAAACAGTATCTGATTAAAACAAACTTTTCAGGAAACTTTTCAGCACTTAGCGGTATTTTTGATGTTTTTCAAAAGTGTTTAACATTTCTCATTATCGTTTTCAGCAAACCAGGTGGTTGCTTCATTCAGCTGTAAGATTGGAATCTTTGATATCAATTTTGCAAAGTTCTAGGTCTACCTTTTATTTGACTCTAGTTAGGCCTTATCAACAATTATCTGTATAAATAAACACATTCTCCACATAACATCAAGTCTCTAGTATATCTACAGTTCTGACCAATTTAAAGAACACCATCTTGATTTGTACCAAAGAAGCTGTTAGCATGTGAATCTCGATCAATTTGCTGTTGTGGATTTTAGTTTGTCTCCTGAAACAAAAAGTTATCTAAAATTGCTTTGGAGAGTATATGATTGGTCTTCCGCGTGCATTCAGATTTCAAGGAGGCCCTCCCCAAAAGTGAGACGCATTTATATACTGATTTGAGCAATAAATGACTCAAATGCGGGATAATTGGAAATTGAAACACTCATTTCTTTTGACATTTGCAACAAAACAGGACGCCAGATTTGAACATTAAGATGATAATAGATAAGAAACCGGTCAGAACCAACACATAAACATTCGCGTTTCACATGTCCTGAGAGTAGGACACATGCCTTTCGACTCATTTACAAGTCTGATGAAGAAGCTTGCAATTGTTAACACACCTAATCCGTCGAATATAAGTAAATACTACAGCAGAAGAATTTATTTTTGATGCAATTACTTTTCTTCCTGCTTTCACTTGATAAACTTTTACGTGTCAACATAAATCACAAAAACATGACCCCTACTTTCCCTCTTGCCGTTTCCGCATGCGGCTTGTTTGTTTCAAAACAAAAGCTACGCCATAACATGAAGAAGAAAGCGAAAATGACAATGGTATTTTCAATCATATTCCTTGATATGAAATACAAAGGAAATATAGAGTGATGCAATCAAATAACCTGTGTTTGATAAGCCATAATGGAAAGGAATTTATGATGTGTCACAAAACATGCTTCTTTGCCGCCATGTTGGGTAAAATTTCGACCTCGACGTGAAATCACTTCCGGTAAAGAATCTGAGAAGGGAGATAATTTTAAATATTTTCTATACAGCCACGCTGGCATGGCGGTCCTATGGTGTAATGGTTAGCACTCTGGACTTTGAATCCAGCGATCCGAGTTCAAATCTCGGTAGGACCTGTTTTTAGGTAATGAAACATTATTTTACATGCACATGCAAATAAAAAATTTCAGAGTTCACGAAAGACAGTATATATCGTGAATGGAAGTATTATAAGTTTAGTTTCATGCAGATAGGGGAAAAGCTGAATTGTATAGTGTATAATTGAAACAAAAAAATAGGATTCATCAGGTATCTCAGATTTTACTGTCGGAAGATACATATTGAGTTTTAATCATTTTGTTATGAGCTGGTTAGACAATGAAGAATGCAGGTGTAAATTTCAATGGAAATGAGTCATTTAATCTGTTTATCTGGATACATTCTCGACGCTCTAGGGATTATCGAGGATGTATTAAATAATCACCACAAAGAGAAAGGAAGAAAAACATCCAAATAAATCAGAGACAATATTTAATTAAATAGTGATGTCTTATATTACTAGTAAAGAGGTACACAACCTAACATTAGTCCTAAACTGACCCACAGGAATACATATCATGATTATTATATTGTGTTTTTTCCGTGAGGAATACAATGGATAGTTCAGTTCTTTTATTTTGTTGGGCGAAAGTCCCATTATATGTGAAGAATGATTAAATGATTAAGCATATATATACTGATGGAGAAACGAAAAGATTAAACCTTTTTGAACACAATGATGACATGTTTGAGAACACAATTTACAATAAAATATAATACATACAAAAAGATGCCACAAAAAATGGAATGCGACACATTTTTCCCGTCCTCTGTTAGTGAAAAGCCATAAGATTTTCCTCAGTTCATTAACGTTATGCAGGAATTACAATTTAACACAAATGTTAAAGAAAAAAAAAACTGGGTCAGGTCCTACCGAGATTTGAACTCGGATCGCAGGATTCAGAGTCCTGAGTGCTAACCATTACACCATAGGACCAGTTGCCAAATTGAAATAATTTTAAGTATATATACGTTTTAATCAATTTGATACTGCGCTTTGATCAAATCATAGTTGAGAGGAATGAATTGATAAGAATAGTATTTTGCTGGCTTCTTTTTGTTCTTTTTTCAAGATAAATTTGACTGAACACACCACTCGTTTAGCACTTTTTGGACGCATTTCCGGCTTTCCCCAAATGACGTCATCGACCGACTGGAAACTCCACCAAAGATGTCTGCGCCCATGTTTGATACGGACAGTGAGGATGAGTTACCGCCTGGTTGGGAGGAGAGGGTGACTCTTGAAGGGAAAGTCTTCTACGCCAAGTATGCTTATTTGTTCAATTGGGAAATGTTCTGAATTCAGGCAATTTTCTTTTGAAGTGATACAGAATATTCCCACTTTGTTTACCTGTTGGTTATGAAAATATGAGATGGTCTTAGCAGCACCAGTTTCGGATCGGTTAGACATTTACAGAGGCGCTGCTAAAAGACGTTTTGAAAACTCGCTAAGTCAACTTTATGATTTTTTATGATTATTACTGCCATGTTTTTATGCTGAAACTGAAGTAAATGGTGTTAGGTATGGGTAATAATATGCTAAAATGGCAATTGATATCGCTGACAATTGTTCTCGGTTGACAAAAGTGTATAGCCTATTGGAACATCAATTTATTTTTAGCCAGTCTTTTTTCTGACGCAGTAGATGAATGATATTTAACATTTTCCACTTTCAGTCACGGTACAAAAGCAACACAATGGGAACATCCTGGGTCTGGCAAGAAGAAAATAGTAAAAGGAGGTAAAATCAGACAAAATCAGATTTAAATAATGGTCATGGGCTTATTCCAACCCCAACCCCCAAGCTTATTCAACTCCTTGTAATATGAAGCAAGGCTCATGCCAGTGGTTGCCATTGTCACATTTTCTGATAAGTGAAGTGGTGGTGAAATGTTGAATTTGGTGATTTTTTTGGATGACAAAATCTTGTAAAAACGTATTGAACGGGAGCTGGTAGTCCTTTTGTTTATGTAATACAGGTAATACTAGTCATCAGACTGTCTTATCAATGGTTTTTGCCTTCCCTTTTTTTTGTCAGTTCAAGTGAACCAAATTTATTCTATACAATTCCGATAAAACTAATGACAAGGAAAATTAAAAACTCTAATCTAATATTTCATACAGAAAATATATAACTTTAGTATATTTTTTCTCATATCTCAGAAAAAAAAAATCAGCAAAAACCACAATTGCTATCTCAGTCTGAGCAAATATCAAGTACAAACATATTTTTACTTACTTATACTTCTTGAATACCTAGTTATGCCTTTTTTATAATTTCTTTTTGGCAAAAAGGAGGGAAAAGGTAACAATGTATTTATGAAAGATACATTGAAGCAAAATTATGAAAGTTTCATGGATGACTCATTTCCCAATGTTGGCTTTAATTATCATTAAGTTCAAGGACTGATTTTTAAATTTCTTTGCTGGTCATAACATCTTTTATCATATGATCAGTAAATAAACTATTATCATGATTTGCTATCAGATGGTTTAATAATTTTTTGCTTCACAGAAGATGGTGATGTGGCTATGAAGTATGCTCTTTAAATGAACACATCCTGAAGATGTTGAGTTTGACTAATTTTTCATTTATTTTCCACCCATTTCATCCATGAACAGGGAGGTGAATTTAAGATGGGTGAAAATATATCACACTTATATAACCCTTTTACATAATCCTCAGTGGCCAAAATGAACATGGGTTGAATTTGTGTTTAATGATAAAAAATAACCTATCCTGATGATTTAGTTCTTGTAAAAATGCTTGAGTCAAGAATCTGTATTCATCAAAATCATTGATATCTAAATAATTTGTTTTGAAGATTTACCGTTTGGATGGGAGAGGAAGGTGTCAAATGATGGAACAGTGTTCTATGTAGAGTAAGTGTATATCTTCAAATACAGACCAATCATATGGTTGTAAAAATTCTGATTACAATATCTAAATACAAATAAAAAGCAGGGAATTATGTTCAACTTAGAATTGTAACAGTTGTAATTTTTGAGCTTTCAAATTTTGATTTTACATGTGTTACCAAAAGTTTTAAGTAAATGAGATAAAATTATCCAGAGGTTATGAAACAGACTTTATGAATTTAGTTTTCAAGATTTGGTTTTTTCAGTTTTATTTTATTCTTGGAAATAATGTGAAATAGAATCTCCTAATAATTACAGTCTTTAATGCATAGCCAAAATGTAGAGAGCATCTGTGAAAACTCATTTTCTACATCCAACAACTCCTTGTTGTTCAGAGTATCTGTTGCCAACTTCTATGCCAGATACAGTTATTATGGGCTGTAATAGCTGAGTCAGTTAGGTCATTGGCCTAAGTAACCTCATGCAAAGATCAGCAATTATTGTGTCCTTGTGCAGTAATTTTGACCGCTCTGTATTGCATGTGGTGGTCCTCCTGTATGTTGTTCAGTGAGGTAGCCATAAACTAGTACAAGAAGACCAAATCTAAAAAATGACCCTTTCTGTTCACAGATTGATTGGTCAAACAATTTAATTTTTACTCTCAACTCAGAGAGACAAGTGTAATCCTCTTTCAGAGGACACCTGTTACAAGGTCATTAATTATTGTAACAATAGTTTTATTGATCAATCTTTTTAATGGTCCTTTTAATGTTTTGTTTTTCAAATTATTAAAGTTTAATGGATTTCTTTTCAGCCACATAAACTCCAGGACAACTTTTACTGATCCTAGGCTTGCATTTGCAGAGGAAGTAAAAAAATCTAAATATGATTTTCGCCAAAAGTTTGATGGAAGTAGCACGGCTCTGCAGGTCATTCAAGGTCGTGATCTATCAGGAAAATATGCAATAGTTACTGGGAGTAACACTGGAATAGGTATATATATATATCTCATTGTCCCAAAATTTAAAACAAATTTATCATTTTAGTGTGTCTTTAGATATGTAGACCCATTTTTATCAAATTAATAACTTGCTAATTTGAAAATTCGTGACAAGTTTCATAAATCTTGTTAAAAAGGAATGCTCATAAAATCTCCAATATATATTACATTACAATATTATTTTCATATGATTTGAGTTTGTTTGGTGATGGAGAATTATCTCCCTTTAATCACTCTGTTACGTGGAAGGGGACACTACAGTGTTTTATTGACAGAGTGATGTAATTACGACATTAAAAATAATTGTATTGATTAGTTTCATTAATTAATCATCATTTATTTTAATCGTCAATTTAATTGATCAATTTTTGTTTAATTGTTGACCCACTATAAAGGAAAGAATTGTTCCACACAGGTAGAGCATAAGAATTGCATTTGCTGTGCTGTCCACATAACATGATTTTAACAGGCAATAAATTTGGGATCTGATCATTTCTCTTATTTGTCAACATTTGGTTTATTACTAGTATCTCTCTTAACACTTCCTGACCTTTGACCTTTAGTTTTGCATTTTTTTCCCTGTGAAGAAGGCTTTGGGTTCAGTCCTCCAGTTGAGACATACTAGAGTCTTTGAAAATAGTAGTTGCAAGTCGCTGCTTGATGCTTAGTATTGTGATAGTGTAATTTTTCGCCCATTGTATGTTTTACGTGGCCATGCTGGGGGTCCTGCTGCAGGGCATATTTCAGCCTCCTACAAACCACATGCAACATGTACTGACCTCACCTGTATCAAGTAGTCATCATTTAATAACCATGGTTACTGATAGGATATTGAAAAGAAGGCAAAACATGAAAAATATAATATATTGATATTTCAAATCATAAAAACATTTTTGTTATTACAGGTTTTGAAACAGCAAGGACCTTAGCACTTCATGGGGCCACAGTGATTCTGGCCTGTAGAAACATTACAGCAGCAACGGAGTGTAAAGAAGCCATTTTAAAAGAGCGTCCATTTGCCAATGTGGAGGTCATGAACCTTGACTTGGCCTCTCTTAGAAGTGTCTATACCTTTGCTGAAGCATACAGATCCAAACAATGGTAACAAAGGTTACTTTTGTTTTTGTTAATGGTAAAATATAATCATTTTGTGTGTAAAACATCATATTTTAAGGTTAACTGTCCAAACGGCAAATGAACTGGTGCTGTGGTCCGGTATTTGTCCATTCATCCATTGATCAATGTCAACTTTTCCGTTTCACATGTTTTTTCTCAATAATTAAGAGGACCAAGATCATGATGTTAGACCAGATGTATGTTGGAATGAAAATTTACCACATTTGTTTAAATGAATGACCTTGACTCACTTTCAATTGTCAAATTCAGTCAAATTTCTATTGAATTGAACTTTGATGATTCAAATTTCTCCATGTATCAAAGTTTCTGTCTGTCCTGAATTTTATTCCTATATATCATACTAACCTTTATGAATCAAAGTTTCATAAATCAAGCTTACTGATTTATTGACCGTAAGCTATGATAGCACAGTCATTAACAACTCTTGATTTAAACAAAACAAGAAAATCTGTACTGTACAGGTATTTTTGCCCCACAGCTAATTTTCACAACTTGCAACGAAGATGTACTACCTGACAACGGGAATATAATAGCCCGCTATCATTGGCACTGTGTTACGAAATGAAATTCATGACAGGACACACATGAAAGTTTCATTGCTTACTTACGAGTCCTGATATTCAATCAAAGATAATGGGATATTTTGTGTTATTGACCGCCGCCATTGTGGTACAGCTTTATGTGACGATCATTTTCTCTCCCTAGGCCCCTTCACCTGTTGATACTCAATGCTGGTGTTTTTGGTCTGCCCTACACAGCCACTGAAGATGACCTTGAGACAACCTTCCAAGTAAATCACCTGTCACATTTTTACTTGACCAAACTACTAAAGGATGTTCTTGTATCCTCACAGCCAGGCCGTGTCATTGTAGTGTCCTCAGAGTCTCATAGGTGGGTAAATTAGGTCACAGTGATCCAGTTATTTTACTTGGACACATAAGTAAACAAGTTACATGTAAATACAGGAACCTATCATTTTGTTCAAAGTCTCAGACAGACTGCATAATTAGGGCATATATATTTTTTTATTGAGGGGGCGGGGAGGGGGGAGGTGAGGGGGGCAATGTTGAAACTCTAGTGAAACAATAAACGAAAAAAAAATTGCTACATTTCTAATAAACTAAGATTGATTGCATATTAAAGCAAACTCAGTTGATTTTCTAGAGAAAAATTGTATGCTAATTGCTGAATTTTTGTATGTGAAAAATACATTTTATTTCTAGATGTTGAATTTGATGAAAATTTACATAAATATATATCATCCAGCAATAAACCTGTGTCTTGTGATGAGCCCACTCATATCAATTGCTGTTTAGTAGAATAACAAGCAGATGCTATGTCATTTTCCAGTTATAAGTCCACTCTCAGACTTGAGGTAGAGGAAATCTGTTGGCACCCTGGTAGGGGAAAAATGTTGGTGCCCTGGGTTGGGAAAAGTGTTGGTGCCCTGGGTTGGGAAAAGTGTTGGTGCCCTGGGTGGGGAAAAGTGTTGGCCACCTTAAAACAGTATATGATTATGGCATAGTTTGTGTTTTCCAGAGCCACTGACCTGACGGTAGAGAATATCAGCATGGACAAGTTATCACCAGGAAAAGCAAAGTACAGTGACCTGTGGGCCTATAATCAGAGCAAACTTTGTAACATTCTCTTTGCTGTCCAACTCAATAAACTACTGGGCCCTAAAGGCGTTGTCTGCAACTCTCTTCACCCTGGCAATCTGATGAGCTCAAGTTTGATGAGAAATTGGTGGCTGTATAAACTTTTAGCATTTGTCGCAAGGCCCTTCACAAAGAACATGGTAAAGAAGTTTGTCTCATGGCCCTTCACCTGAAATACTGTATAAAAATTGAATACCATTATATTTTTGTAGGCCCTTCACCTGGCATAATGTAAATAATATATAAGATAAACTTACAAGAATTATGCTTATTAATGCCACTCTTCAATGTGTCCAAACTCATTACCATTTTACATATTTTGGCCCTTCACCTGGCATAATTTACCAACACTTGTCCTTTACCTTATATGGGATATATGAAATTACTACCCATTTCAGAAACCAATCAGTTAGGATAGGATATCAGGAATAAGTGGCCCTTCACCTTGCATATATACATAATGTTATATTCACTTACACTCATACCAAAAGGACTTGATGGAAATTAAACTGACTTGTGTTTTTTTTTCAATTATAACAATATTACAGTTATGATTGCTACTACAGCAGGCCTGAATAGAAGCAGGCTGTATGTTCTAGAGATTCTGAAACGGAAAGTTATGAATTTTTTTCAAACTTGGCTAGTTGGTTGGTTACAGGTATTTCAGCGTTGTGACTCTTCCTATTGCTCGCACTAATGAATTTCTGAGTTCTGACATTGTCACATGACTCGTACTAAAAATAGAAAAAAAAAAAAAACCTCTGCCTTAATGTATTATGGATATTATCTCCCTTGAACTTTTTTTCAATTGAAAATTTGTATTTTCTATAGCAACAAGGGGCAGCGACGACAATCTACTGTGCAGTATCCCCTGACCTAGGTGATTGTGGGGGTCTTTATTTCAACAACTGTTGTCGTTGTGAACCTTCTACAGCAGCCCAGGACAGTCAACTCGCACAGAAACTCTGGGACGTTAGTGAACAGATCCTCGCATCAAAAACTCCAACAGAGGAAATGAAAGGCATATAACACAAGGTTAGTTCACATACTTTACAGCAAATTTCTTAGTTTCCATGGATTTTTTTTGTTTTCAGTTATGAATGCTTCTTATAAGGTAATCTAAGTGTAATGAAGGTACTATTCAAATTGCTCTGCGTCTGTGGACTGTTGTCCGACTGTAACCAACATTTGTTAGTGCTCTTTCATGAGAAGTACAGGATGGATCTTTCTGAAATTGCATATGTAGGTTTCCCTTGGTCCTTAGTTGTGCCGGTTAGATTTTGGGACTGATAAAGAAAACCAAAATGGCTGACAGGAAGCCATCTTGGTTTTTTACAATGAAGTTTATTATCGCTATTTCTTGAAAAGTACAGTATGGATCTTTCTTCAATTTCATATCTAAGTTCCCTTTTGTCCCAAGTTGTGCCCATTTGATTTTGGGTTTGATGAAAAAACAAAATGGCTGATGGGCAACCATCTTGGATATTAACTATGAAAGGTTGTTATTGCTATTTCTTGTGAAGCACTGTATTGTTTTTTCTTAGACTTTATATGCAGGTTCCCCTTGGTCTCTAGTTGTGCAAGTATGATTTTTGGTTTGGTCAAAAAATTAAAATGGCTGACAGGCAACCATCATGTATTTTAGCTTTGAAAGTTTGTTATTGCTATTTCTTGAGGAATACTGCATGGGTCTTTCTTAAATTTTGTATGTATGTTCCCCTTCGTCCCTACTTGTGTCAGTTTGATTTTGGGATTGATCAGAAAAACAAAATGGCTGACAGACAGCCATCTTAGATTTTGACTTTGAAACATTGTTATCACTATCTCAGATTTTATGTGTATGCTGTCTTTGACCTCTTGTTGTGCTCATTGGATTTTTGTACTGATCAGATAAAATAAAATGGCCCACAAGCAGCCATCTTGGATTTGACTTTGAAAGTTTGTTATCACTATTTCTTGAGAACTACTCAGTGCATAGGTTCCTTTAGGCCCCTAGTTGTGCCTGTTTGAGTTTGGACTGACCAGAAAAAAAAATGACAGACAGGCAGCCATCTTGAATTTTGCCATTTAAGGTAAAGATTATCATCACTATTATTGCAAAGGAATGTTCAAATGAGCTTATAAAGATAAAAAAAATGGTGGGCGCCAAGATCCCTCTGGGATCTCCTGTTACAAGATTAACGAAAATTCACACCATCACAACTTCTTGTCTTTTTTCTGGTTTGATCATTCTGTTTCCATATTCTGCTTTACTTTAATGTTGTTAGAAATGACATTATCTATGGGGCTCATTGTTCATTCTTTTAATATTGCAGAGTTATCTGCTCTTGTGAACAGGTTTTGTCTGTTACGTTATTAATTAGTGCGTGAAAATTACGTCACTTTCTCACAAATTTATGACATTATTATGTTACGTATAGAACAATCAATACCTTCTTACAAGAGCAGATAATTTGAAAATAAAAGACCCACTAAAAATAAGTGATTTACATGATAACTGGTCATTTTTGGTGATTTTTTTTTTCTTTCTTATCTTAACACTTTAGACTTCCTGTCTTGTCAATTAATGAAGACAGAGTAAATACAGGCTTGGTTGTAATATTGTAGAAAAAATCAAACCAGGAAAACTTTTCTCGTTTGTTGTGAAAACATTTTCCCCCCAAAAAATTACCTTTTCGTGTTAAATCATTTCAATTGTCATCTAGATAAAATGAAGTACAGGGGTGAGGAGTTTTGTAAGTCAGATAAGTAGAAGTGCCTACAACAGACAGAAAATTTCATATACACCGTAGTTTTCATTGGTTAAGTATAATGATGCTAACATATGTATAAAGATATTAGTGTATTCTGTTTATCCAATAAGCAATAACCCCATGTCCACTGATAAGACCATCCATATCTATAGCAGAGACAAATCTTGTTTCATTGTCCAGTAATGCTCATTCTACCCCCTGATTTTGAGTACGAAGTTTTGCGTTGGACTCCTGAGGTCCTGTAATAAACCCACCCTCTGATTTTGAGTCACAGTTAATGTGTTGGACCCCTGAGGTCCTGTAATAAGCCCATCCCCTGACTTTGATTCTGAGGTAATGTGTTGGACCCCTGAGGTCCTGTAATAAACCCACCCTCTGACTTTGAGTCAGAGTTAATGTTTTGGACCTCTGAAGTCCTGTGTTGGGCTCAACCCTGACTTTGAATCTGAGGTAATGTGTTGGTCCCTGAGGTCCTGTAATAAGCCCACCCCCTGACTTTGATTCTGAGGTAATGTGTTGGTCTCCGAGGTCCTGTAATAAACCCACCCTCTGACTTTGATTCTGAAGTAATGTGTTGGTCCCTGAGGTTCTGTAATAAGCCCACCCCCTGACTTTGATTCTGAGGTAATATGTTGGTCCCTGAGGTCCTGTAATAAGCCCATCTCCTGACTTGAAGTCAGAGGTTATGCTGGCTCCCTGAGGTCCTGTAATAAGCCCACCCCCTGACTTGGAGTCAGAGGTTATGTGTTGGCTCCCTGAGGTCCTGTAATAAGCCCATCTCCTGACTTGAAGTCAGAGGTTATGCTGGCTCCCTGAGGTCCTGTAATAAGCCCACCCCCTGACTTTGATTCTGAGGTAATGTGTTGGTCCCTGAGGTCCTGTAATAAGCCCACCCCCTGACTTTGATCCTGAGGTATTATGTTGGACCCCTGAGGTTCTGTAATAAGCCCTCCCTATGACTTTGATTCTGAAGTAATGTGTTGGTCCCTGAGGTTCTGTAATAAGCCCACCCCCTGACTTTGATTCTGAAGTAATGTGTTGGTCCCTGAGGTTCTGTAATAAGCCCACCCCCTGACTTTGATTCTGAAGTAATGTGTTGGTCCCTGAGGTTCTGTAATAAGCCCACCCCCTGACTTTGATCCTGAGGTAATATGTTGGACCCCTGAGGTTCTGTAATAAGCCCTCCCCCTGACTTTGATTCTTAGGTAATGACTTGGACCTCTGAGGTCCTGTAATAAACCCACCCTCTGATTTTGAGTCACAGTTAATGTGTTGGACCCCTGAGGTCCTGTAATAAACCCACCCTCTGACTTTGAGTCACAGGTAATGTGTTGGACCCCTGATTTCCTGCAATAAGCCCACCCTCTGACTTTGATTCTGAGGTAATATTTTACTCTAAATGATGTTGTCTCATGAAGAATATTGCTGACAGATTTCTGTACATGTACTATTTAATCATGCCTAAGTGCCATTCTTGTGAGTAAATGATAATTTCACTTTTGTTTCAAGTCACATGGAAATGTGATGTCATATTTTTATGTGAATGATCATTGCAAGAGAACTTTAATAGTTCATTTGTAAAGCATCAAGTAAATACCTCCTGCATGGTGTTCAGTGATGTAGCCACCAGCTAGGATAGCCCACCTCAAAATGTGTCTGGATGTTCACACAGGTTGATAATTACATTAAAATAACAAACAAACTAGAGACCATATAGTCTTTGTCTTAAAGACTAAATAATTCTCAATTTTCAACCCTGTTCTGTAGGTGTGTATGTGTTTCAGCCATCTATCAGGAGGGGTTGAACCTAGCTAGAAAAATGATCCCCGTTTCCACAATTTTCAGTTAAATTTATTTTAGAAATTAGTTAATTTATATTTGGTAACATATATTGAAATGTAGCATTTTCTTGTATATCTAGGGTTATTTTGTGATTTATATGCCTCTCTGCTGTCTGTAGATCACTGTCATCATTTAGCGTTAGGAGTCCATATATCAAATACAGTGTAAACAGTACATTTTTATGTTGTTTGTTTTAGTGAGATTTCACGTGTGAGATTAGTATCTTTAATTAAAATACAATCTGGATTTGAATGACGGGGGCTGCAACAGCAACCTCGGGTAAAGATTCAAAGTGTGAAGTTCTATGCCTCTAACCGGTAATGGTTTGTGGTTTCCAGCAAACCAAGAAATGGAAGGATCTGTGTTTTGTTCTTGAGTAAAACACTACTCAAACAAACCTGGATAACATGGGATGGGCCTTTGATATGTTGTGGGACCCAGTATTTACTGCAGGAAAACCTGCCTCAGAATGACACTGACTGTAAACAGGTGTTAAACCTAGTCAACAAACTAACAAACAAACGCTTTTGTCATTCTTCAACATGGTTTATTTATTTATTTATTTATTTATTTAATGTTTACTATTACACTCTTTTCTCTCAGCAAACAAGCAAAATCTGTTTTTCCATTTGACTTTCAAACAGTAATTAACACATGCAGTTGGATCTTTGACATGCAGTGTTGCCAACTTCTCAGCGTGAAATATCTGGTCACGGACTGTTTAAACGTTAAAAAGAGTGTGGGGGATGACTTTTCTCTGGACTTTTTCACTAAAACATAAGAGTAGAAGCCACATCAAAAAAATAACAATAAAACCACATTACAGTAATTTCCTGAACTTCATAAGATCTGAATCATACCTCTCCTACAGTTTTATTGTAAATTCATGCATAACATTGGATGCAAGTAACATGTTTAGGAATGATATTGAGCATTTAATTCTACAGACAGATGAGAACAGCCCTTGTTTCTGTTGCTGTAAAATCATAAAGTTTTTTGTGGACTTTGTGGGTACTCCATGAACTTATATGTCTACGAAATGATAACCCAATAAAACTGACATGGATTTTACAGCTAGTTAATTTTGTGATCAACTAAAATGTACGTTTTTTTAGAAAGACATTTGAGCAGTACTGGCTGTAGGTTTAAGTAATTCAGTTCTGGTCTCTAATAGTTGGCACTCCTGTGACTGATTTATTTGATGACTACTCTGTATCTGATTGATTGATATATATATATATTCATTGTTCTAATTTTAATAAAAACCTTAACACAAGCGATCCACTCACTAACCTGCTGGTATTGATATCATTATACACACACGTGTGTGTTTATCTGTTCTGTTCTGTTTGTGTACTAGATTGATATCTGCAAATATTATTCTGTATCTGATCCTGACATCCCGATCAAGGGTCTCTACTCCTTCACCTAAGTTTTACATTTTTTGTGTTTCCTTCACACTTCTGCTTCAGAAAAAATGCACAATAACAAATCTTTGCACTCAAACACTACCACTGCTCAGGTTTTCTCAACTCCCCGCTTCCTATGAAGGGTTCTCGACTGTTTTCAACAGAGCACCATTCAGCACCAAGTGTTAGCAAGAGAGATGTGAAGTGAAAAGAATGCCTGAATTGGCTACAAAAACAAGACCAAACTTTCTAGTCAAGCAATTTTCGAAATGAGTTTGTTGGAAATTTCTTGAAGTGATTAAGGTATTATATAGTTTTATGTACCTGTATAATGATATGACGATGCATCATGGAAACTGACTAAGTACAACTACACGGCAGTCTTATAAAGAATGCTTACAGTACTTACATGTTGTTTTCAATGTTCAGGATAGTCGTACAATACGTAGATATTGTTTTCTACATTCTGGTCGTACAATACATAGATGTTGTTTTCTACATTCTGGTCGTACAATACGTAGATGTTGTTTTCTACATTCTGGTCGTACAATACGTAGATGTTGTTTTCAATGTTCAGGATAGTCTTACAGTACTGGATGTTGTTTTCAATGTTGAGGATAATCTTACAATACGTAGATGTTGTTTTCAATGTTCAGGATAGTCTTACAGTACTGGATGTTGTTTTCAATGTTGAGGATAATCTTACAATACGTAGATGTTGTTTTCAATGTTCAGGATAGTCTTACAATACATAGATATTGTTTTCAATGTTCAGGATAGTCTTTCTTGCCTCTTGTTGAACCAAACATTTACCAGAAGTGTCCATGCAAAAAATGAAAAAATTTGAGGAGAAAAGAACATTTTCTGACAGCTTGAGAATTTTGCTGAAATGAAATAAAGATGTTCCTCTTCAGTTCACGAGTATCATATTGGTCGAGATTCACTCCTTTCTAAATTCACTGAAGTAAAATTTCTCTATCTTTTTTATAGGCTCTTCATCTAGAACATCAAATGAAAGGTTAAATGTCACATTAACATAATTACATGCAAACTTGCTTGATACTCAAATATACAAATGATTCAACAAAACCAAAATTTTCAGGAAACTTGTTTAGTAGACATATTACCTTAATTCTTCGTTCTGGTTCGATTATCGGCAATTACTATGTATATTTTATGAGACTGCTGTGACCTGATTGGCTGATGTCTTTCGGCACTCTAACTGAATGCTTTCCGCATGTTGCCTTTTGAAGAATCTAATTATGGCGAGACTTGCTTGGTAAACTTATTACATAATCTCCTCACTCAAATTCAATCAACCATAAATTCCATGCATATTTAATCATGATGCTGTATTGCTGATTTCTTGAAAGTCTTGAGGATAACTTTCCACACTTCTGTCAAAGGAATGATCAAATATTTTATGAGACTTGCATAACAGACTTAGTACCTTAACCACCCCCTTGATTATCAGCTAATTCTGCAAATATCTGATGAGGCAGCTGTGACCTGAATGGCTGATTGCTTTGTACAGAATATCTTCTGAAGTAATAATAATAATGTTTGAAGTTATGTTGCAATATCTGAGTATTAGATGCTGTATTGCATTTTATTAATGTGTATAAAACATTTCACTATTTTGTCATACTTGAGTGGTAATAGAATCATTAATTGATCCATCATCACTGAAATTAAGTGACAAATATTCTATCATTAACATAAAAGAAGGGAATATAATGGTATGATAAGCTGATTTTAATATTCACAGCATTATGCTACTACATTGTTTTTATATTGAACACTTTCAACAGAACTTTAAGCTGAACATTAACAATAAATTATTTCAATACTATAGTCTCCTGTGTTACTCACTTTAAATGTATATATTTCACATTGAATATGGACGGGGAATCCCAATGACTACGTCCTTGTTATCCTGCGACTCATTTTGAAAACATGAAATGCCCCCTGCCAAATATATTTTTGGTATATTTAGCAGTGACGGAAAACAAGTGTATTTTAGCATGTACATTAATTTCTCACTAATATATTACATTTGAGATGTTGAAAAACGGTCGAAGTAAATGTTTTTGTTCGGTGCATTGGACAAGCTTATTTAGAAAAAAGTCATGAAATTACTGTATTGTTTGTTTAAGTTTGAAACTGATTTTATGTGGGGATCTTAAATTAATTTTCATATCTCAACATGATTGGATCAGTGTCAGATAAACAACAAACCATTGCAGTTTTGTGAAGTTTCAATAAATTCTGTGATGTAAATAGCACACAGTTGGTTTGTGTCTTGAATTATAAGTTGAATTTTGCCCGAGGACAGGAAAACAGAAGTAACCTGTCACCAAGGCTAGCCATTTTTAACTTCATTTACCTTGGCCAATATACAGGTTTCATTTCATGAAACTGAGGAATTCTCTGTGTATAGGAAATTGTTACCCTTCAGCAGTATGAGACTGATTTGAAAACGGAGAAATGGAGGTGTTATTTTATTGTAAATATATTTTTTGTCAGTGAAATATTCAGGTAATTTGCGCAGGTCTTCTAGGCCTTTTGTTCTCATTTGTTCCGAGTGAATCAATCTCCGTCATTCAATCTTTAAAAAAATGTATATACATTTAGGGTAGGGGTTTGGGAAGCTTGGTTTGAAGTGAACATCACTTATCACCAATAACAGAAACCTGTCATGTTTGCCAAATGACAAAAGATTGAATTTTGTGGACAGAAGAGAAAATGTCTTAGATAAAAAAAAGTGTTTAACTTTTGTGACGAATTTGTATAGTTCTTTTGGAGGATTTGCTGGGTTCCATGTTGGTTTGGGCATGGGTTTTGTATATCTCACATTTTAGATGATCTATTGAAGATTATTTTACCGTGTGATCTTAACTACATTGTGGTTTGGTTTGATCATAAAAATTCAAATTACCTGAATGTTGTTAGAAAAACATGGTTTCAAGTTAAAATTATTTTCATTCATTTTTCCCTTTTTTTTGCTAATTGTTGGAGAAAAGTATGCTATAGACCTGAAAATGACTTGTAATAGAAGCATACTCTTAAATTTACACGACTTTTTTCTTTCTTTCTCTAATTACAGAACAAGTGTGAATCAGCTGTCCGACAAACTATCTGTGATATAGCTACGTCCCTGTGTGACATTCCACTGGATCACTTCACCTTAGTGTTAATCATAAGTAGACACCTGGATTATCACCAGTTCCACTGTAAATTATCCTGTGATGTCCTGCTGTAGGCCCATGTCTGGTGATACGCCCTTTCTGATCAAATTTTTTTTTTTCTTTAAAAAATAAAATTGATGATATTCATGTCCATCATTGTATGGAGATAGGTACATCTCCCTTCTTTGCGTTTGAGTTAAAACCGTGGTCCCTGAATCATATATTTATTATTTTGTATTCCGTGACTGCTCGAGATTTAATTTTTATTTATTATTTATTGTATCTAGTGCTGGTCTATGTGTTCAATTCATAAACAATAATTGTTTGTTTTCTTGTCTGTTTGTGTAACGGAGGTCATTATTCATTTCAATACCTCCACTAGGAATCGAACCAGGGACCTCTGGATTATTAGGTTGACACTAAACCAATTTGTCTAAAGAGAAATTCTCTCTAGCCGAGCGGTATATTGTGGCTAGTATTTACCAGGGTTACATTTGTAAACATTAATATTATCTCATATGTTTTCTGCATATTTAAGAGAAATTATGAAAAATGTTTCTTACAGAAATCTCTGCATTCATAAATGTCTTTTGTCTCTCACAAGAGACACCTATAAACGCAGAGATTTCTGTAAGAAACATTTTTCATAATTTCTCTTAAATATACAGAAAATAAATATCAAATGGACCTTATTTTAATCATTGGTTTTAATTAACTTGACAAATAGCAATTTGTGCTGGATGTTTAAAATATGAATAAATTTGTTATAATTTGTTTTATATGTCTTGTATTAGATTTCATGAAGTCAATTCAGTGACTTTCCCAACTCAGATATTTGAATCCTGAACTCTGATTGGACTCACTAAAATTTTGAGAACCCACCACATCTCTTAGTATTGGGACTTGTCAAAATTCTAGAATTGTTGTTCTGGATTTCTCTTAAAATTTCCTACTAAAATAACAGTCAATATTTCTTTAAAAAATATCAACAGCATGTGTGTGTGTTTAATCTAGAAAAAGATATGAAACGCGATGAATAAAGTAAAAAACATTGGAAAAATTGGTTTTAATTAAGACAAATTATTGGTTGGAAATTATTACAATTCATCCTAAAGGGAATATCGAGTTTTTGTACATGAAATCAAGCACAGTCAAAAATGCTATTTTTCATGAATACAAGAAAATTGTTGAGAATTTAAGAAAAACGTTACTTATGTAAAGTTTTGTATTTCAACTAACTTTTAATAAAATTCTCAAACATTTGACATTTAACTTGTTCATTAATTTTGCATTTGTTAAGAATTTTTTATGTCATAATGTTTTATTCTTTGTTGATTGTATATTCTCAAAATTTCAACAGCTTGATTATCAAGAAATATTATGTTTGATATTTAGATTGAGAAAAAAAAGGTATGTAACTTTCATCAATTGTACACAGGTGAAACAATTTAATCATCCATTTTATAATTTTGTTTAAATAGACAAAAGTCATTATAGTATATTATATAAAATTACTTTTGTTTAAACAAGTGAAGAAATGATTAGATACTCATTATTATGGGTGGAAATCAAATACATTAAAATAATGTTCTGGAATTTTATTTCTCATTTCGTTCAAATTTTGAAACAAGTATTTTCAAGATGTTTAAAAAGATTCAAGAGAAATTGTATAAAATTTTCTTTCTACTTACTGTCTGTTGTTTCTGTGTTCAGTATATAATTACTGGTATATTGAAAGGCCAGTGCTATATGTATATGTTCACAAATATCATTTTCAATTCACGTACCTTGGGGTACATATAATTTGGATGGCAACCGCTATCAGATTTAGCCATGCTTCTTAGCAAATCCCCATAAATACTTTTTAAACTAATTTTTGATATATCAGAGTTTTTTGGTGTCATTAAATTCTTTTACCTTATTCATACAAACAAAAAAATGTAAATCTTTTTTTTTTCCTTTGTAATTCTACTTAGAGTGAACATTGTCATAGCAGGCTTATTAAAGAAATATTTGCCACGTACCCAGGTACTGTCTTCATGATTTCATTTAAAAAAAAAAAAATGAAAAAAATTACACAGTTTACATAGATCAGAAATCATTTAATTCAAATTCAAAATTTGATTAAAAACACAATGTTTGATGATTTATTAATCTAAGATTTTAGAAAGTAATTCAGTTTTATAATTTACATATATGTGTTAATTTTTTTTCTATATTAATGCTATTTCAGCTCATTTTAATGAGAAAATGCTGGAAAATGTTGATGACAAGAATAATCTTTTAGGTCAATATTTTCAAATGGAGTGTGAAAAATAACTCGTGTCCCTGTTGGTAGCTCCTCCAAACAAATACTTAACTGCTAAGTATAACAAACAGGTGAAAACATACAGGTAGTTAACATGGGGGTTTTTTGGCAGGATTTGGGGCCAAATATGGTCAGCATTCCCAAAGGAAAAATTTTATGGATTTTTATTCTCAAAGAATCAAATGACCTAAAGAATGATTATTAAACAAATTGTCTCGGAATTTGTATGGTGCTGTCTGATGTACCATTTTTAACCGTCAGTCCTGGGTTCAGAAAAAATCTGAGATAGCACAGATACAAAATAACAGCCAAGCTGTAAAACAAGCTTGCTGTCAAATGTATAAAGCAGTAAACTCAATTTTAGGAATGTCCTCTTTCAATGGCTTCAACAATAGCAAACCTTTTTAATGTCAAAGATATTCACTTATATTTTTTTTATTTATAAATATTTAAAAATTCTACTGTTTAAGACCCAAAAAAATGTACAAGAAAATCTTTTCTTTATGAAATAAGGGAAAAACACAAGATTTCTAGTTTTAAATTTTACTTAAAACACTGACTAAAGTTAAAAGTACATACATATTGAACAAAGTTGAAAACACTAGAATGTTGGTCAGAACTGATAGTTAACATTCACATCAAGTTGTTTGCTGTAGCTACCTTTGAAGGTCAAGGTCCAAAGATCCAATCAATTCACGCTCCACTGCACACTGCCAATCGGTTGTCCTTGTTCCAATACTGCACACAATAATTCCAGACCGATGTTTAAATCTCTGGTGGTCAATTGGTTGCTTTAGCAAATGCAATATCATGATAAAATATGCTTTGGTCTTATGTGGGTTGGAAACACTAAGGGAATTTCCCAGGGGTACAGGTTTTTCCAGATTTAGGCAGGTAGGTAGGTGTGTTGTTGTCAGGGACAACAGGTATGCAGGAGTGTCTACATTGTACAAATAAGGTCACACATTCAGTCCTGTGTGAAAAAAAAATTTAGGAATTTCTATATTATAGTTTCAATAGATAAATGTGTTTGCAGTTGCTTGGAGAATATGATCAAAACATTCTTCAAATGATTATTTTTAAGGAGTGTCTGCTGTAAAAGTGAATGCAATATATTAATGGAGGCCAAAATTGCCTGGTGGATATTCCAGCAATTACGGTCTGTGTTCTGAAGACCCACTTTCAAATGAACTCTCTAGAAGTTCTCAAAATAGCTTTCACAAAGTGAAGTCTTATGTTTTTGAACTATTTAAAACCTTTTTCTCTTATAATTTTGTGTTGATATTTTGAAGAAGTTTCGTTATTTATTGCATGCATTCAGGAAAGAAACATTCAATTTTATTTTGGGGAGGAAATTGAGCCATCGGGGAGGAAATTCTAAGTAGTAAACTATATACTTTGGGCGTGTTATGCAATAAATCCAATTGGAAATGGGCTCATATTTTGCCCTAGAGAGCCCCCAGAAAAAGCCCCATGTTTTTTTTTTTCCAAAATTGTCACATACATTGTTATTGAAGATAGTGCAATGAAGTAATGTTGAATTGGAAGTTTTGAACATAAATGCTAATGGCTGTGTTGAGATATTGAGTACTCTTACTATTGAACACATAGTTGGGACTAGATTGCTGTTCTTAGGACAAGAATACTTGGTTGTCAAAGAAATAATATCCGGTTTACGTGTGGGGATGACAGTATTATCAGAGCCTTGTGTCCCGCACCCACGGGAAATGTTCTGATTTCTCTATATCCTTTACCAGATAAGACATTTGATAAAATCTCTTCCTGTCAACTCATTGTATATAGGTCAATCTGTTTTACGTCTACAAGGTGTTACCTGCTCAAACTTGCATGACAATTGTTACTTCAGAGGTCTCCCAAAAGTCTTCTTCATAGAGAAATTCACTTAACTACAATAGTCGTTTTAAGATTTTGCTATAATGTTAAGTTTTTCAACAATGAAGATGAATGAGTATTAAACCTTTTTTTCTCATTGAATTCCACCATTTAAAATCTATCAAAATGAATAAAGTGTCTTTATGAGAAATGTGTTTTGTCAAAACTCTTTGTGAGAAATATTTGTATTTATCATCAAAACTATTTTGTAGAAAATCTGGTGCAATTGCATAATTTATTCAAAACAAAAGACTTTATAAAAAGTCACGGTGTAAGTTGATTTCTTTTTTATGAAGATTTCGGAAAAAAAGTCTACTGGAATTGTTTTTCTTTTTAATACCATTTTAGTACACGTAATATTGTGTCTCATTCAAAGTTCCTTTTTTATGAAACATCTCTTTTACTGTAAAAATAAATTTTTAATGGAAAGTACAGATAATTTCTTACATTTTATACCTTAAATGAGAATATAAAAATTTTCACATTGATTTAAAACCTGCTAAAAGTTCATTATTATACTTGCAGTCAGGGAATTTTAGGTAGAATCTGTAAAAAAACAAAATATTCAGAGTATGTTGACGATGGGGTTTAGTTAATTTGTGTCACTCTTTCGGCCATGACACTCAGCAAAACCTGTTTATGTTGATTTAATTACTTTCTTGTGTAGTATTTTTATTTCAAAGGATTAACATCATTTTTGTATTGTTTTATTACAAATTATTTCTATTTTAAGTCCTCAAATTGATATAATGATTTCAATTTCTAGTCAAATTTTTTCTTAATCATAAGCTCCCAATTCCAATGGAGATATATAATTTCAGTACATGAACTTTCTGTGGGTGTAGAATTGTGTGTGAACGGAAAACCCGACGCCCCCAACCCCTATCCAACAATCACCCACACTACTAACACACAGCTAACATCCTTCAATGACCATATTTATTCTACAACGAACCCAGGATGTCGTCGCAGAAATTCTGATGTAAATGTCTTATACAATCTGAAAAAAAAACCAATCCTGTAATTTATTTTAATTGTATAGTGTACCTATATAGTACAATAAGCTGGGAGCACAACACACGTCTCCTGACTTGGAGTCAGGATGTTCCTGAAACTATAGTAGATGACGGTGGGCTTGTTACCAGACGTGGGCATTACGGGATAAATACAGTTAATATTTTTGTCAACACAGAAGCAGTTTGTCCTTTTAATCTTAGAAAATGCCTGTTATCCAGTGAATTTGCCTATGCAATGTGAATATGTCGATGAAAAACTCTCCAGCTATGGTACGTACACTGAGGAATTTTTCATTGGCTGTGCAAGTCAGAAATTGATTGTGATGTCATAATACGGGCAATATCACTACATCTTA